CGCGTGACGTCACCGCGGAGGGGAGTGGCGGGGAGTGCTACGTTACCGTGGAGAGGAGGGGGGAGGGGGGTTCTCAGTCGCGCAACATGTTACAATATGTTAGTTATTTTAGTATAAAGACAACAGGGCATGCAATGAAGTAGTTCGACGTACATCGAAAAGCACCTGAAGGTGGCACTTTAGTGCTGAAATATGTAGTGCAAGAGAGAAGAGTAAGGTGAATAAATGTATGCACTGTAAGATGGTCAGAATAAATCATGGAAAATATCATAACGAAGAAACTAACTCTCGCACATTTATGTGCATATTTAGACAAAAAATATTTTCTAAATTTTAAACTGCCATTCCTGTTTGCATACATATTGCTGGGTGCCTCTAGATTCCATGTTATTGGTATATCTCTGCAACTCCCATTCACACAAAAACAAAAAAATGTCTTAATGATGCCATGTTTTCAGTAGCATTTCATTTGTTAGTCTTGTATGAACTTGTGTATAAATCTGTTGAAACTGGAGTGTGAAGAAAGAACAGAGGCAGGATATACCTCTTTTATCAATTCTACTTCTTGACGCCGGATTTCCCTTCGCTCCTTTTCTCTGTTTTCCATCAATTCTTGATGTCGCTTTGCCTCCTCTTTGGCCCTGCAATTTATACCACAGTGCTTAAATACGCTCCTTATATTTAAATACTTTCAGTACAGATAGTCTGCAAATGTAATTATACGAGGGGGGACCCAAAAATAACCGGAAACGACCTGTTGCGTACGCATGCTTTGTAGTTACGAGTTGTGCTGCTAGGTGGTGTTAGCTGGGGGTCTCCCGCGACTGTTAGTGAGCTGGCGTCAGTCTGAGTTAAGTGGTTTGTCTGTGGTGCTCTGTTGTGTGCGTTCCTGTTTCAACCCGTTGGCGATTAGTGAGATGGCCGACCAGAAGGAACAAAGAGTGTGCGTGAAATTTTGCTTTCTGTTAGGGAAAACTGCAGCCGAGACTGTTGGGATGCTTCGGCAAGCCTTTAATGATGATGCTTTGGGGAAATCACAGGTCTACGAGTGGTTTTCCCGTTTCAAATCTGGCAACATGTCAACAGAAGACATGCCACGCCCCGGGCGTCCTTCGACAGGAAGAAATGACGAAAACATTGCCAAAATCAAACGTGCAATTGATGAAGATCGTCGAAAGACCACTGACCAACTTTCTGAGGAAACGAACATCTCATGGAGCACGGTCCAGCGAATTTTAACCGAAGGTTTGCACATGAGACGGGTGTCTGCAAAATTTGTTCCTCTCTTGCTCGGAGATGACCAAAGAGAAAACCGCGTGAATGTTTGCCGCGACTTGAAGAGTGAAGTGCAGTTTTCCCTAACAGAAAGCAAAATTTCACGCACACTCTTTGTTCCTTCTGGTCGGCCATCTCACTAATCGCCAAAGGGTTGAAACAGGAACGCACACAACAGAGCACCACAGACAAACCACTTAACTCAGACTGACGCCAGCTCACTAACAGTCGCGGGAGACCCCCAGCTAACACCACCTAGCAGCACAACTCGTAACTACAAAGCATGTGCGCGCAACAGGTCGTTTCCGGTTATTTTTGGGTCCCCCTTCGTATATTTAAAAACAAAAAGAATGACACTACCTGTCTGCTTCTAGAGATTCCTGATAAGCTGCATCTTGTTCTCTTTTCACAAGTTCTCGAGCTGCTCGTTCATCCTCTTCACGTATCTCCATTCGTTGCTGCTCAGTAAAGACATCAACAGCTTGTATCAAACTTGTCAGCAATTCACTAACACCCACATTACCTATGAAAAACCAAAGAAATTCTTCTATATTCAACACCAATGTATTACTGTACTTTAGATAAACTAATGTAAATAGTAACTATACTGAAACTGAAAAAAATATGGAAGTTAACAATACCATGTACAATTGTGAATATTTCAGTAGCTGACCGCATTCTCATTATAATTAGTAGTGCTGGAAGTCTTTCCACTTCTATATTCCTAATTGTCATAGCTGCCACACTGCCCAATGTTCTAGTCACAGATCCCAAGAATCTGCAAGAAGAAAAGACAATATGCGTAACAGATACCCACAGTACAAAAATGTACATAACATCCTGAAGTGTTCAACAAAGCTTGCAGCTTTCACTGAGGACATAGCCTAATATTTGGTCCCAATAAATTAGTGTGATGAGATACCCTGGGTGTATAGAGGAAGTCCTGGTCTGCTTAGTGGATTTTAGGATGGTATACTGTCCTGCATTTTAAATTATGCTGCTGTTAACAATCAAGTTCCTTCCGTCAAATGTGACACTTTTTTAAGTTTTCCACCTCGTCAGCACCTGCCTTACATGTTTCGGCTCACCACGGAGCCATCATCAGAGGCATTTATAGTAGAAAAAGAANTGCTGCTGTGTTTCAGTACTGTGGCATAAACGTGTATGAGACACGAGATGTAAAGCTCCATGTATTCTAGACCTTGGCAATAGAGACAGACAGACGAGGGGTCAGCTTCATGCACTACTGCTTTGCTCCCATCCACAGAAAGAGACCTCAGTACCCTAGGGTAGGCAGGTCACACAGGCAGTATGCATATGGTGATGGAGAGAGAAATACTGAAAATCAAACCTTACTATTCAGCATACAGCCAATCACTTTCAATGTTATTCTAAATTACTGGATACAAGAAACCATAAATGCAATTTTAACACAGATTTTAATTTTTCATCACTTCATAAGTACAAAAATTACATAGGATATCAGTTCAATTCCTGCTAACAGATCACCATGTTATGACTTATGTATAATTTATTTACTGAGGCTTTCAATGGCTCTTATTATACAGCATCATCTGGAAGAAAATGAACTGGAAATAATTTGGAAGTGACTGTAGCCTAATTTAAGGCATTATACTAGTATCTAGTATGAGAGTCCATGGAAAACCATGAAATGACAGTAAGGATAGCCAGTCTCTAGGCCAAGATTTGAACACAAGACTTCCAAAATACAATGCATGAGTGTTAATCACTCAACTGTGACAGTATATGGTAAATTTCTTTGTGGTTTATTTCATATTTTCACTATCTCAGAATGATGATTGGAGAATAGTGAACTAGAAAGAATTTACATGGAAGTGGTCATGCCCTAATCAAGGTGCTCTTCTATATTTGCCTGGGGAGACTGAGGAGAATCACAAAAAGACCTCAGACTAGCCAGTGTCCTGGCAAATATTTGAATCAACTAGCTCCTGAATACAAGTCTACAGCATTACCTCTACACCAATCTGTTCAGCATGAACATTTTTAAGGTACTATGCTCATAAAAAACCAGTTAAAAGTGTTGATGAGTAGTGTTTATTTATATTGTTCATTATCAGAGTTACCATAGAATAGCACTTCCTTGTAAACTATGTAATGGCAACACAACATAAGATATGCAATACTCACTTTAACTTGTTTGATTCATGAGTGAGATCCCAGCCCCACACAACAAAATGATTGTTAAGGCATTGAAGAACAGATTCAAAGCCTAATAACTGAGTGCAAAACACATTTGTGAGGACACTACCATCATGGTGGAGGTACACTGCAAGAAGCCGTCTCTGCAAGAAATAAGAAATCAGAAACTGGAGGACATATGCATGTCTGTATTTATGTGAATGAATATGTACAGAGGATTTTCAACTTGGAAAACTGAATGTCAGGTTCACTACTGGTAGGAACCAACACTCACCTTCCTCACCAACATTTCTTCCTGATATTTAGTAACAGTTCATTCTTTTGAGAAGTCTATGCAAATATTTTTCATGGTGTTCTTTCATCTGTCTAAAAGGCAATACATTATAAAAATCTGACACTACTATTAAGCTAAGGTCTGTCTAGCTTGCATTTGGAGGAAAACTATAGGACAACTTCCCATTACATTACATTACTTCTTAACTCTTTGACTGGCGCGAAGGGTATTTAAATCCCACCCCTGTCCTGGCAGGCCCTTTAAACCTTATGTCGCTAAAATGCATGTTGTTACTTTTTCCTAAACAACTTCAACAAAAATTGGTTTTTAAAAACGAAATTTTTAGGAACTAATTAAAATACAATATTTTATGCAATAAATGCTTTTCCACACCTCTTTATTTGTTTTTCTTCGTGTGATAAACATTGAAACATGAAAGTTTGCAGAGAGCCACACCACAGCCTGCACACATGATACTTGTTTCTTTTCTAACCTTGTAATTAGCACTCACGCGACACTTTCTCAGGGCACCATTCTTCTTATTGTTACTGTTAGGAACATGGACCATTTTGTGAATTTTCAAGCCACCCTCTAGACGATTTGCTGGCTCTTTCACTGGTGGTCTTTTCAAGGTCGAGGGCGGAGGCGTGACTGCACTCTAGTCTGACCCAATAGATTCGTCATCCACTTCATTCCTTGACTTTTCTCCCTCTCCACACTGTTTGTTTGGTTCAGTCATTTTTCTACACAGTCCAATATAAAATCTTTGAATCTGTAATTTCTCTTCTTGTATTTTTCGTTTGTTGTGTTCTTTTTGAATAGAATGAAACTATTCAACCGCAAAGACATGTTTTGTCCATACCATGGGTGTGAAATAGGGGCCTAGTGGACAAATATTCTTCAATTTCAGGGCGTTTGTCGATTCCTGTCATGAACACAATTCCTAAGTATGTCCAGATTTCATCTGATGTGACATAATTGTAATTGTGTTTTCGAGAGTGAGGAGCTAACTCATGTGCGTTGAAGTGCTGGTGAGCATAGCGATTGGTTTCAGTTGTGATGTGATTTACCAAGTCGTCATCCAGAAAAAATTTTAATCCATGAAAAGGGATGCATTTTATGTGTTATATCAATTTTGATCCCGAAACTATTAGCAAATGGAAATATTGGGGGTACAATGTCTCCGTACGTTCATGAGATGGGCGTGTCAGGCACCGCACTCGTGGTAGGTAAATGTTCATGATTACTGTCTTGTGGATCATTGCCTATCACTGTATTATTGTCACTATCAACTTAATCCAATTCAGGAATCATTATTTCATCGCCACTATCATCATCAGAAAAAATCTCGTTCACAACATTTTCCAGCTGGTCTGTAGGAAAACGAAGACACTTGCTGCAAGAAGCTATGGTGAAACTGAATGAATGTGAAATATTTTCTGACCTTTACCTTCTCAGAGGGTTCTGACAGTAATATAGACCCCCACAAAGTTTACAAGGGTTCTTTACAAACATGCACAAAAACTATCATAAATATGTCTTTGGTTGATGAGTGCCAAGAGAGCAAAGAAGGGACGAGATTGTCAAAGCGTTAAAACACGCCAACGCCAGGGAACGGCTGGCATCGTCCGGGCGTTAAAACACGCTCGCGCCAGTCAAAGGGTTAAATATCACCAATGAGACATCTTTCTTCACTAATGAATGAACATATACATTCAGTAAGCTAATGATGAAATTAAATTATTTATTACAAATGTAGTTCTAAATGCAACAGTAATTTGGAAATTACATTTTACTCACATCCTTAGCCGATCTCAAACATGCTTCTTTGACAGCTTCATCCAAAGACCCGGGGAAAAACTCTGGATGACATTCCCCATAGCGATTTGTAAACTGATCCGAAAAGTGAATACATCCAGCTACTTCATCTTCCACATTATTTGGAACTACAGTAAAGAAAGGTATGACTGAATTAAAAAGAATCTAAGAAAGAGTTTTATCTTTAGACCAAATTTTGATTCAGTAACAAGAAAATTATGAAAAATTCTTACAAACATGAATCCCTGTGACTATCATATTGTAACCAAAAGTTATCTTGAATAAACTAAAACATGTAGTGACAAGCAGTGCTGTAGTCTCAGTAACAAATTTCTTAAAGTGGAAATGTGGTAATAACATCTCTCTGAGTGAAACACCATCAGCAAACAATTTTTTGTCACTGGTTCTACAAGCCAAGTGTGTTTTATGCATTGAAAATCAGAGATCAATGCCACACAAGACATCAGAGATGCACATGCAATATGTGATGGTTAATTTAGGTCACCATCAGTGTCTCAGACTATACAGGAGTAATGAATAATGAACTGGAAAGGATTTGTACTGAAGTGGTCATGGATTAATCAAGGTACTAGCCCAATATTTTCCTGGAGGGACTGATGAAAATCATGAAACACCTCAGTCAGGATAGCTTGACTTGTCCTATATCATGTACAATGATCTACAGTGACGAAATAAATCAATCACTCAATCAATCTAGTGTCCCAATCAAGATTTGAACTAGGCATCTCCTGAACACAACTGTGGAGTATTACTCTTAACCAAGCAGCTTGAATGTAGGATATGAAGTTGAAGGAAAATTGCAGACCATGCCTCAAGGAGGTAGTTATCTTGGCCTCCATCTCTACACATACCTATATAATTACATTAAATCTGTCATATTCTAAAGGCTGAAACTGACAATATTATTTTCATAACATATTTCTTACTGAAGCTCTTTAGTCGGTTACCCAAGTTAGACTTCCACAGTGGACTGTCATAATAACAGAAACTCCTAATTAATAATAATTGCTTGCCCCATATTTATATTACTGGAACAGCTGCCTAACAATACGATTTCAACTACAAGGAATGCATGCAACAAATTCATATCTCATAGTTATTGTGCCAAGGTAATTATGTGTATTAACAGATACACACCCATCTCCCCATAAAGCCATATGCCATATTTTTCATAAATCTGTAAAACCTATGAAATATTTAAATGATTTTTTTTTTAATTGTTATCAACTCTGTAGATTCTGAATGCAATGGGAACTTCATTTTTCACTACAACAATTTCCTCATTTTCATTTTAATTTAACTATTCTAACATACTTAGTGGTTGCATCCTCTTTGTTTCAACATCAACAAATATATCATCCTCTGTAAATGTCTCTGAAGCATCTTCAAATTCTTCTACAGAACTATTGTCACTATCTGCCAAATCAACTACAAACTGAAATAAAAATAATACATAAAGTTAGTTTAAGGGGCATGCATGAAAAACCTAAGTATTATACTTATGTATATCTGTATCATAAACTTTATGTAACAGACTTTCAATAATAGTACATTTCCTTTTCTATTAAAATCAGATGGACAAAGTGTCACTTGAATTACTTAACTTAATTTGTGGGAACTGATGACTGATTTATTTACAAAGGTGCTATTATTTTTTAGAATTTATTCTGTTTACTAGTGTACTCCATTCTTAGTATACAATTGGCACTGAATTTATATCTCTTGGAGACATACATAGTATGACTACATAGAGGTATTCTTTCTTGGGAAAAAGCTGGTGTAAAGTCTCTTTGAACTGCGGTGATGTGTTGTTCAGAAACGATGTAACATGTACCAACCTTCTTGTTCTCCTTGATAGGATGTGCAGTGAATGGTGCTCTCTTAACAGTAAACTCGTGAACAGGGTGTCTAATTCCTGAACACGCAAGAGTTGTTCTATCATTCTTCAGTTGTGATGGCCAGCCAGTCCACACCTGATGTCGCACAGGGATGTCAGTGAGTGTATAAACGTCTGTTTTAACCTCCAGCACAGTTTTAGAGCCAAGAAACTTCAAGCTGTAATTCTTTTGCTGTGATTCATCGTGAACATTTAATGTATATGGCTGTATTAGTCTTTCTGCTGTGCTTGAGCTGAAATGCATTGAAAAATGACATTAAAATCAAATACAGAATGACAATGACACATATGAAATTTCTAGAGACAAGATAAAAATACAGGGTGAATGTGAAATGACTGGACAAACTTTGAGAATGAGCTCCATATACCAAAACAAGAAAATGAGTTCATATAAATATGGGCCCACAAATATTTCCTTTCCGTGTTACAGCACTGAGAGGATGAATTTACAAAAACTGCTCAAAATGACCTCCATGTGATCCATTATATGCTTGGGCATGTCTCATAATGAACTACTGAACCCATTCAAAGATCCTGGCATAGTTGCAGATAGTCTGACAAGTGTCCACAATGCACTGCCAAAGTGTTTGCTTACCATTTGCCTTCATGGCATGGTACTTAATTATGCTCATGATTAACTTTACCTTTACTTAGAGTACCATCCTAATTTACTTTATATCTATAATTGAAGTACAATTTATTAATATGTATATTCACACTCTGCAGTACAGACACAAGATCTGCATCCCATAACTTTACTATAAAGCACCTGGTGTGGACTACATAAGGTGTCAGACATGTCAGTGATTTCATCTGCTTCCAGCAAAGCCTGGCATATTGCCCACACAAAACTAAAGTTCTTGAAGCAAAACAATAATTTTGCCTGATCTAGCGTACAGAAACTAATGAAGACGCAGTTATTTTTTAAATCTATTTCTTATACGGGAAGTTGACATTAGAGTTCACTAATCCCAACCATCAAAATAATCTAATCATTTAGCAGAAGAATGTACTGGGGAGCGTAGCTTAGGTAACTGAATAAAACAGTCTATCAGTCCTAGAATACAAAGATGTAGAGCTATATGAAGCAGAGTCCTTCTTGAGTAGGAGAAGTATACAGTATTGTAGAACAAAAGAAATTGTAGGAAGACAAAGAAATAGGCAGCAATTTGGTTTTAACATTATGGTGAAGCTGACAAGTATAATACAAACTGTCTTACATGGTGAGTTATATGTTAATAAAGTTCAGTGTATTCCAATGGCATTGTGAAGTGTTAAACAGATTTCAAAATAATACCTTCCACTCACATGAAAAATTAATTTCCAAAATACAAACACACTCTGAATTTGTACTGACATACTAAACTTACTCTTCTGCAGACAATTCACCATCCTCCATAATGTCTGGAACTGTGAGAAAGAGTATGTTCTCTTTAGGCAAGTTAAGACTTGCCAGTGTTGTCAGATCTGAACTTGGATAATGTTTCCATCCTTCAAGACCTTGCTGACATGCAAGAATTCCCAACTGGGCTGTCAGTAATGTCTTCAAATCACCTAAACCAGAAATGAATTCACATCAGAATAAAATGTCACATGTTAGTAACTAGACACAGGGTTTGGATAGCTGGATTTATTGGAAGCCTGCAAATCCTTAACTACAAATAACTATAACACAGCCTCAGAGCAGACTGCACATAGAAGACACCACATCTTCCATTGCTACATCAAAATCTGTTGCCACAAAATCGTGCTTGCTGTGTCACTGCCTAGCAATGACTGCCTCTATTTGTTCCACTATTCCAGCTATCAGGCATCACATCATTACATGTAACACATCACTCACACATGACATTAATATGATCATACTAACCTACTGTTCCGGTATCAGGTAACTGCAATTGTATCACTTCTTCTCTGAAGTGGATGCGAAACTGAAGGAGTCTTGTACTGCTCTCGGGCTGTGAAGTGGATGGCAGAGGAATGAAATCAGCACCGACGCTTACAGGTAATTGGAAAGGCAATGGACAATCTGAACGAACACATGAAATAACGGTTACATCTGGGCTTGATTTTACAGAATTAGATGGTTCTCGTTTTATCTCTTCAATCATTTCAACATCCACATCCATCTCAGAAGGCAATGTTTGAGTCTCCTGTGGCATTACACGGTTAATGGCAGCCTGAAGAAAAAAAAAGTGTTATATTACTATCTTTAAAACTGGACCATAAACTGTTTGAACTAATTTTCTGCACCTGTACATATATCATTCAGCATTTCCCCACCATCTGCTCAGTCACCACCATGCTTAGCCATGTCCCTTCATCCCTCCTACTGCATTCTATAACAACTTCCACTTCCAATGACAATTAAGTTACAAACATGGCTGATAGGGACGAACAGTTCAAATTTTCTTACATAAAATGTAACAAAGGACATCATCACATCAGGCATGAAAGAATCACTTTCGGTTTAAGTTAAGACAGGTTAGGTTCGATTATGTTGTGTTATTATGGTTAATTTAAAACTATGATACCAAGTGGTGCTTGGTAACACCACAATTACAGGTGTTGTGTGACAGATACTAAAAATCATAGGAGGTAAAAGGGAATGGAAGAGACGGGACGCTACATCAGTTTCTTCACTTTTCCCATCTAACTTACCAGTAGATCCCAATTTGTTTCTTCCAAGTGAAAAATTGCTTCTCCAACATCCTCAATACCTGTGCAGGCCTATTGGGATACAAATTAGATATGTCAAAAGGTAAATAATTAATTCATATTGAAACCTTTTCAAGAATCAACAATGAATGACATGATCTAACCTATAAGTCGTCGATAATTCACTTATAATTTTACGACTGCATCACAAACACCTTAATTTAACTACCAATGCTATGTTTCGTTATGGAGCTGTAACTACCTGAAAGTCTGCCAGTACTTGTTCTCTATTCTCCGACATTTTTAGTTACTTGCAACAACATACATATGAACACACAATCATTACTACCAAACGTTATTCGATGCAACTATAATGATTCCACACGAACATAACCGAACTGAACCACGGGTTCAATTGTTTAAGGCACATTCAGAAAACCACTATAGGAAACCAGCATAATAATATCCATTCACTGTAAGATAAAATCTGATAAACGTAACCGTAAAGCATGAAAGCTATGTATTCAATTTTGTCAACATTTTGGATGAAAACCGATGTTTGTTATATTCATCAATTAAAATTTAAACATGTACGAGACAGGCACATGAAATCAATTTAACCACATATGGATCCCTATTTTGAGAATATACTCTAGCATACACCAATGTTGACAATATAAGCTCTTTAAAGTGAATTTTGTGCACTTCAATATGTAGCCGGTTCCATCGTTCTCGAGGTGAAAAATATCGCTCTAGAAAAGAAATTATTGTACCTGAGAGAAGTCTGTAGTATAGTACAATGTAGTTGAGGCAAATGTATTCTACCTTACGTGACAAATAAAGACTGGAACTTCTTGTTCATGGCTAACATTAATTTATACATTGTTGGCTGTACTCGTTGCAACATACGACTATGCTGTTTACGTTTGGCATCCTGCTGTGAAACCTCTGAGGATTCTGAGACAACTGAGTTTCTGAGAGTTGTGAGACCTGTGGAACTGTGGAACGCCGTGGAATAAACCGACGAAGCCGACTAAGTCTCTGAGGCTCAGAGGGTTGCGGTTAATCTGTGGAAGAGTGTTAAATGTGTGTGGCTGTGTAATTTTTTTTTGGTGAATGTCAAAGAGTGCGGAAGCGAAAGCATATTCTGGAATATTTATGTTTGACATTAGTAAAAAGAAATACATTGAGTACATAATAAATATTGTACGTACATTTGCGTCAGGGGAGATAAGTAGTTCTGTAAAAGTAATTCCTATGGCGCGAAGATGCATTATAGTTTATAGGTGTTAACCTTTGGCATATATCCTTTTCACTCCTAATCATAAGAAAGCCAACGGAAGGTATACTTCCCAAACCTAATTTGAGTTTATAAGACTAGTTAGGTCAGAGCCATTTGAACAACAATAAAAGGAAACTGCTTTGCAGAGGATACGGGAGTTTAAAGTCGTTCAGCAAGCTTGGGGTTTCCCCTGAAGTAGTATTGCTTTAAGTCTATTCAGTATTTATTGTAAGATTATTTGTTAGGAACCAGTTTTCTAATTGTTTCATGACTTTTACAGATTTTTCTTTTAACAATGGGAGGCTTTTCTTTATGAGTAAAATATTTGTGTCATTGCGAATAACACCACCTTAGCTTTTTGAACTGCTTTGGGCAAATCGTTTATAAACAGCAAGAACAGAAGGGGTCCCAAAACAGAACCCTGAGGTACACCATATCTTATTTCTTTATATGATGAAGCAAACGGCTTTATATTTGCCGTGTTTTCATCTAAATGCTGTACTTCTATAAATTTTATTCTACCAGTAAGATATACATATTCATCCATGAGTGTATTTTCCCTCTAAGTCCATACAGCTCAAATTTGACAAGCAGTAGTTTATGATTTATTACATCAAAGGCCTTAGTTGCATCTAAAAATATGCCCACAACTAACAGCTTATTATCTAATGCTTTATGGATATTCTCTATGAAGGTTTGTGTTGCTGTATTTGTAGATTTCCTCTCTCTGAAGCCATTTGAGCCTCAAATATCATGTTGTGTTTGTTTAAGAAGGTCAGTACTCATTTATGTATTAATATTTCAAGTTTTTTGGAAAAAAACTGGCAAAAATTGAAATTGGTCTGTAATTGGAGATTTCCTGTTTCCCACCTTTTTTGTGAATAGTCCTAACTTTTTCAATCTTCACCAAATTTGGAAATGTTCCAGAGCAGAATGAAATGTTAAATAGAAAGGTTAATGGTTTCTTGATATACTGAATACTTTCTTTTACTAGCCTTTTAGGTATTTTGTCCCAGCCAGCTGAAAATTTACCTTTTAGTTTCTTGGTTACATTTAAAACCTCTTCTTCAGTAAATGGAGCAAGAAATATGGAATTAAAGATTAATATTTTATTATTTACAGTGTCATGACAAAATTTACAACCCATATTTTGATTTAACATCTTGTACACATTTTCTGTGAAAAAGCATTATATTGATGAGATATATCCTGTGGGTTTGAAACTAACATGGAGCCTATTTTTAAGGAAATGTTTAGATTTGTTTTTTGATAATTCCCTGATTCCTTTTTTATTATTTGCCATATTACCTTGGTATGGTTTAATGACCTTGAAATAATTCTGTCATTTTCTCTTTCGTGCTTCAGACATCACTTTTTTATAAGTAATCTGATGTTTCTTTATATCCTTTTCGTTATCCATCCTGATTTGATACCTTTATTTTTATATTGATTGATGGATTGATTGATTGATTTATTTAACATCCATAACTGTTACATTATGTACAACTGGACAAGTCGGTTTAAAAAAAAAATGAGATTAAACATCACATCAAATGACTAATAATATAAAAAACCATAGAAAAATAACATAATAAGTCCTTTAAATATGATAAAACAGTGGATGAGTATAATAAGGCAACAAAAGCTAAACTATAAATTACATGCAATAGCTAAAATAAATTACCTAAGTATCTTTGTTCTATTATTAAGCTAATTCTGGTAAAAATATTCTTGAAGGGAATAAAAAGCTTTGCACAACAAGTAATCCTTTAATTGACGCTTAAAAACCTTGAACTCTTGAATACTTCTTATTTGAGAGCGCAAGTTATTATACAATATTATTCCCATGTTAATCACACTCCTTTTACAACGTGAGGTGTTACATGGTTGGACATACAAATTCTGCTTATGTACTGTGTTATAACCGTGCACATCTGAATACGAGATGTTATATATTCTATTTTTCCTTAAAAAACACAACGTCTCAAAGATATACAATGAAGTTAGGGTTAAAATTTTAAATTCACCAAAAAATTCTCTACACGATATCCTGTTATTGACTCTTTTGATCAGTCTTAAACATTTTTTTTTTTTTTTGGATTTTAAATACAGTTTGAATGTCCTTTTGACCACAGCCCCAAAAAATAATACCATATCTCAATATAGATTCAAATTTTGCAAAATACACACTTCTCAAAATTGGAAGACTGACCAAATCTCGTAAGGATTTGATAAGNTTCTAATTGATGCATAGAAACTATAGTTTTATCATTTAAAGATTTAAGATTTTTGTCAATAATTAGTATATTGGTGTCATCTGCAAATAAAACAACTTTCGCTTCATGAACAGCTTTAGGCAAATCGTTTATAAACATTAAAAACAAAAGAGGTCCCAGAACCGAACACTGAGGAACACCGTACTTTATTTCCTTACACGAAGAGGAGAATGATTTTTGATTTGGAGACTTGGCATCAACATGGTCAATTTCTACAAACTGGGATCTACCCATAAGATATGATCTCATCAAAGAGAGTGAAATTCCTCTAAACCCATAAAGTTCCAATTTAGCCAACAGTAATTTGTGGTTTATCACATCGAAAGCCTTGGAAAGATCCAAAAAAATACCCAAAGCAAAAAACTTATTGTCTAATGCTTTCTGAACATCCTCAATAAATGATTGCAGTGCTGTATGAGTTGATTTATTTTGTCTAAAGCCATTTTGGGCATCAGATATCAAATTATGTTTATTTAAGAAATTCACTACTCTGTTATATATTAATGTTTCAAAGATTTTAGAAAAAACAGGTAATAGTGAAATAGGTCTGTAATTAGATAATTCTTGAATTTGTCCTCTCTTATGAATAGGGCGAACTTTGGCAATCTTCATCTGATCAGGAAAAATTCCAGTACAAAGAGACAAATTGAAAATAAATGTTAAAGGTTTACAAATAGGTTGAATACTAAATTTTACCAACTTTTCTGGGATTTCGTCATAGTCCGCGGAGAGTTCACCTTTTAGTTTACTAGTCACACTAAGTACCCCATTTTCTGTAATTGGTACGAAAAAAATCGATTTAGAAAATGGAGTAACTTTACATGCTTGGTCATACTTAGGTTTTTGATCATTTAATTGGTTTACCATTTTTCCTGCAATTTCAACAAAAAAAGAATTAAAATGACCGGGAGTGAGGAGGGGGTCTAAGTCAGTCATGGAGTCCACATCCGAGGTTTTAT